AATAAATTCCCAAAAATACTAGAAAAACATCATAAAATTCCAGAAAATTCAAGAAAAATTCCAGAAATTCCGGAAACCATAAATAACCGCCTTGAGTCATAAATCAACCTATAAATTAATTTAAAATATACACAACACCTATATATTACAATTAAACCTTAAAACTCCAAAAATATTAAATAATAATAATTCACGATTTTAACTATTCTGATTAAATCCTGATTTAATCAAATAAAATTAATTTAATGTATTTAATTAATCCGTTCTAACCATGTTTTAAATTAATAAATTTAATCTAAAATCTTGATATTTAAGGTGAAATACTTATGAGTTCTAAGAGGAAAAATAAAGAAAACTCGTCTGAAGGTTTCGAAATGAAACCGACGCTTCAAGCATTAATCGTCTCTTCCAAATTCGACGTTTTCTTTCACTAATCCAACCCCTTCTTTGTCAGCCTTCTCCTCTTCTCACTCTACCTCTCTTATTTTTCTGACATGTAAACTTTTAATCCTAAAGCCTTATATGTATATTTATACACATTAAAATCCAAATCATATTCCTACTATGATTACCAAATAAAATAATAATCTTTAAATAATATATATATTTATATACATATATATTGTATTATATATATAAATACCTTCCATACATAATCATTTATTTATATATACCTATATATATCAATATATATATAGACATATATACCCCCCATAATGATTATTAATTATATATATATATATATGCAAAGATAATTATTTAAATATCTTCATAACCATGACTCTTTAATAATTAACCAACAAGGCTCCTTCCATCCCAAGACCACATCCATTGGTCTCACTCCTCTTAAGCCCAATATAATTAAAATAAAATAATTAAATTAAATCTAATAATTACAAATAATTAAAAAAATAATTCACACAAGTATAAATACACACAAATCAAATAAGCAATTCAATCATAGCATTCCACAAAGTAAAATACCATATCAATCAAATATAATCACGAGTTATAATCTAATTAAAATAAGACAATTAATCTAAGCACTCAATTAAATGAAACAAATCATTTAAAAATAAAATAAAAGCAATTAATTCCAATTAAATCAAACAAATCATTTAAAAATAAAATAAATTAAATTAATCCCAATTAATAAATCTTTTAAAATATTGGGGTATTACAATTATCTATTCCCAACCTATCTTGTTGTGCGGTATCTGGCGAAGTCCTGTCGGACACAAGAATAGAGGTCATATAATGGTACTCTAATGTTTTTTGCAAAAAAAAGTTTTAATAGTCTATGCTTAAGAAATGTGGATTGTTTACAAAGTAGTTAGAGTAAGTAGGTGGATAGTCCTCGCTAACCGCAGATATGTTACAGTTAACTAATTTTGTAAAACATCTTTCTTTAAACTCCGAATTGAACGAATGTTATTGAGTTCAATTCATTTGAAAACATAATTGGTTAAATTCCCAGAGTTGATTCAATTGACCATAATATGATGATTGTGGTGAAGTCAAAACCCTAAGATCTCTCTCTCTGATCATTTAATTTAGTTTAAATTGCTCTAGTTTAATATTTTGTTTTAATTTTAGTTTGTTAAATCGTGACAACCAACAAACTTTTCAACCAAATTACCTGTAAACCATTAGGATTAAAATAAAGACTAATGCAAATCTCATCTCCCTATGGGTTCGACATCCTCTTTACGTAGAGCTATCCTACACGGAATCGTTCTATTGCGAGTGGTAAAATTAGAGACATAACAATTATAGTTAATTGAAATTTATTAAATATCTTTCTTTAAAACCGAATTGAACGAATGTTATTGAGTTTAATTAATTTAAAATATAAATTGTTAAAACCTCAGAATTGAACAGTTAACCATAGTACAAAGTTCGTGGTGAAGTCAAAGCCCTAAGACATTCTCTCTATGATCTCTTTAACTTAATTTTAGTTTAATTTCATTTTATATTCATGAGATCCAATCAACCAATTCAATCAGTTACCTGTAAACCAAAAAGAAAATTGGATTAGTTAGAAACAAAGCAAAGAACACTCATCTCCCTGTGCAATCAATACCCTCTATATAGTCATATCCTACAAAGATTCGCACTATTACAAGTGGTAATATAAAACACACATCAATGCCTAAGGCGCCAACTTTGAACTCCCTTGAGCCCCACATCACATATTCGGGATAAAAGAAAACTGGGATCATACTTGGGGATTTCATAGCATTTAGTTCACAATTCAATCCTAATAGTACCATTTAGGCATTTCAATACAAATATGCATAAAATCCAATGCAATGCCTGACGTTCTTCCAACCTTGGTCTCAACCGACTATAACTTGGCCTCTACCGGCCCTAAACTTCGTCTCCACCGACCCTAAACTCACATTTTGAAAACCGCTAATCAATTTTACTGAGGCGAGATTGATAACTATCCTTGGTTCCAAATCCAGCAACCATTTGGGAATTTGCATCAACTTTTTCACATCCTACACCAGACCGTGCTTCCTCTAGGACAAGCTAGCACCGGGTTCGCGAAATCCGGTTCATTTTTATAAAAATCATTTCAAAATCCTTTTTTTCATTCTCACTTCCCGCCATATCATGCATATGCCTCATTTCATCCAATTGATTTCAATCTTATTATAATTTCAACAATGGCATAAATATAGCATTTTTTTAGAATTCAACCCATTCATGGCATTCCCATTAATATGATCATAAGCATAACATTTTCATTTAAATTAAGCACAACACGTCACTTTGTTATAACCACATATAAGCATGCTAATCATAGAATCTCATATCACCACAAATCATGCTAGAATTCTCATGTTAAACAACTTTATACCGAAGTCATGTAATACACATACTTAGCATGAAATCAAACACATAATTTCCCACATACTAGCATGCTTCCACACTTCAACAAATTACTAACGTGTCAATTTACACTTTGACATTCAAGAATGAGATTGATAAAAAAAAAAATATGGCATTTGTACTCAATAAAAGCCAAGGTTTTAGGCATTAGAAATCCCTAATGGAAGCCCTTTCCTTGCTCATCCATTTTCCTTTTTTGGTCATCTCCAAAAACTCATCAAAGCCCTCTCAAAAATGACCTTGAAGCTTATGTGTATATAATGTATATAGATATAGAAAGAGTGAAAGAAGAACTAAAGAGAGAGAATGGAATTTTGAAAATGAGAAGGAAAATGGGGGGGTTTGGTCTTCATTTTTGTTTTGTGATTCCATTGGTGTCAAGTGTCACCATCCTATGGTTACTAACTTTAGGCCAAGTTACCATATTGCCCTCATTCATCCATCACAATGTCAACCTTGTCCCACAAAATATCTCCTCTAATATATAGATACACTTATATGTATATGCGTGTGCCATGACTATAATGCCCTTCACTTAAAATGACAAAACCGGGAGAAGCTCTCGAACCCGGAAATCGTCCTGACTTTCGAAAAATTCTAAAAATAATCCCATCACATCTAATTGACTTAAAATAATTAAAATGAACTTATAAAACCATTGGCTCAAGAAAATGACTAAGACGGCCCTCGGGACCCGCATAGCACACAAAACGAGGTACAAAAAATAATTAAAATAAAAATTCAAAAAAAATTTAAAAAATCTGAGACATTACACAATTCAGTTCAGAATAGCAATTCAAGAAGCCAAACCTGAATTGGATAAATCAAGGAAAACCTTATTGGCCGAGGAGGTTTTGGGTTGCACTGTGCCGACAATTCTAGGTAAAGGATTTACACCACTGAAATTTTTTATTTTTTCAATACACAAACTTTTCATAAGATTTTCTTCACCTCTCTCTAACCCGCAATTGTCAATTTATTAGCTTCAAATGGAGAAATTTAACTGGTGATGGAAGAGACTTATGATACCCACTAATTTTAGAGCCATAGGTTAATCAAGTCTATGTCCAAAACCAAAGGATATCAAATAATTAAGGTAATAAATAAACACAGAATACAAAAGATAATAAGAATAAATAAATAAAGCTGAAATGAAACGAATAATAAATCCTCCAATAATAATAACCCTCCAATAAATATCCAAATACTCTAATACCATTAATCCTCTAGATTACGACTTGGGAATCTATAATGTGGACCTCTAATAAAATCCAAACCGGAAATAATAATCCAAACAAATGTCTAAACTGAAAATAAAATCCTTTTAGAATCAGAAGAGTGGTTTCTGCTCAACACGAACAATCTCTACACCTGACGAACACCTGAAAAATAATAGTGGGTCAGGCCCACAAACAAGTTCTACTCTACTACATCCCAAATAGATACCCGATACACATATACATCCTAGTCAACTCATACAATAATTACATATCCCGTATATATATAGATACACACTAAATGACTTTTACTGGACTATAGGGTGGCCTCAACCTGAATAGTAGGCAACATGCAAAACGCACATATAGTGAGCATGAGTACCATGATCTACCAGGACACACAACTATCCACTATATCCAGCTATGCATCCTAGGCAATACATTCCCTAACCACTGATCCTGATAACTCAAGCTCATATCATGGCACATATCCATATATATATATAAATCTATCATATCCAGAACATAAAAGTAACCTATCCGCCATAGTCTTTCAATGGCATGCCATTCACATGGTTCTGTGACCTGACACGAATAGATGTGACTTAATTTATTAGCCAATCCATCTAAAATAATATATTCTCGTATCCTAACAATGGTACATTAATCCATATCATAACTAAATGGGAAATAAAGGTGATTTTGGTGGGTTATATTGGTAAATTAACATTTTTTATGTATTTGTTGACTAAGTTAAATGGTCAATTTTTTTTTATGTCTCAATGTCTGGTGGGGGGTGTGTAGGTAAACTTTTCAGATGTGAGGGGGTGTCAATGTAAAAAAAGTGCGTTGACCATGTCCTGATTGGCGTTAATCGAAACCTCGGTGCAATTTACCCAAAAACAAATAAGAACCAAAATTGATTTTTACTTTCCTTCCCTTTGGTTGTCTGAAATCGAAAATCCCCTTCCTCATGGCAGTTCCAAAGAAGATCATCATCGACACCGACCCTGGAATAGGTAAGCTCTCTTTGCTAGGGTCCCTTCTCTTCAATTTTTCATGCATATATGAATAATATACATATATTGCTTTCTCACTATTTTCGAAAGTATCGCCTTTCTGAGATGTGAAAGATCTAGAGATTTATACCCTTCGTTTCATAGATTGCTTTTAGGAAAATTGAATAACGAACTAACACTGATTCGACGAATTGGACAGTCATATTTCCGGTCCCAAACCAAATCAACAAGAACACATACCAAGATTTTCTTCTTTTATCTCCAGAATGGAGCATTCGAATTTTCTACCTTTCTTGTTTCTCATATTATTACGCTGTGTGTGCAGATGATGCCATGGCAATATTCGTGGCATTGCGATCGCCAGAAGTGGAGGTCATTGGACTCACAACTATTTATGGGAACGTTTATACAACTCTTGCTACTAGAAATGCTTTACATTTGGTAAAAAAAATAAAAAATTGTTCTTAATACTTGTCAACTTTATTTTATTTCTGTAATATAGAACAGTTGAATTTATGAGACTTTACATTCTTTTTAGTAAAAGTAAACAATGGTCTGAGCTTTGGTTCGCTGTAAAACTTTTCAACTGCAAGTAGATCAAATATTTGATGACTTCATTTTGCATTATTACTTAGATTTGGTTATTATGGAGATTCGTTTGCTAATCATAGTAATTCTTGAGCTGTTTTTATGTGTCAGTTGGAGGTTGCAGGGAGGACTGATATTCCTGTGGCTGAAGGATCTCATGTCACAGTCACTGTATGAATTTCGCAATAACCCCTCTTCAGATTCCATCTTTTATAAAAAAATTATACTTTTGTCCTCGAGCTTTCCCTTTCCCTTTCCCTTTCCCTTTCTATTAATTTAGTAAATAAGTGCACTCCCCTTTTTTTCCTTCAGACTGAGAGTGAATCTAGAAATCATGCTTGCAAAAGTCATATTGGTCAAACTTGATTAAGATTCACCATTTTTTACCCTGTGTTCATAGCTAAGGTCTGCAGTACTTCACATGTCAGGAGCATGAATGATTGTTTTGGATTCCATTCACATTCTAAAATAAAGGCGTTGTAATATCTGTACTAAATCTTTAAAGCATTTAATGTTATGTTGTTGATTTTTTATTTTTTTACATTCTGTTTTGTAGAACCAAATAAAATGTATAATATGTTGATGTAGTAGCTGTTCCTTCAGGTTCATTTGCTGTACTAGAAATGATTTCCTTCTTGCCACCCCTACCAGAAAATAAAAATAAAGAAGAAGAAGAAGAAGAATGGGGGAGAGAGAGAGAGAGAAAGAATTTTTAGATGGATACTTCATAAAAAACTGATATCAGGTTTATATGACGGCAACGCCAAGACCTTCATTGGAAAATTTCTATAACATTTTGTGGAGGGAAAATACTTTCCCACCAATAAAAAGACGACACATCATCACATGAGGGGACCACTGTAAACACAAAGACTATTCAACTTTCAAACTGGGCCTTAGCAAGAAGTCTGGGACGGCCCAACCGGATATGGTGGGCTGGATACATTAAGAAGGCCCGAAATAATAGAGCTCCAGGCCCAAATTACTGCTAAATCCATTTTTAGTAGTAATTTTATTAGAAGAAGGATTACAATCTAAGGAAACCAAATCATGTATATCCTTATAATAAGGATCATATATTGTAATTGAGAGTCTTAAGGTACAAATAAGGTGAGTCCTAAAAAGATTCAATTACCTGTAAATTGCTTATAAATAGAGGCCAAGACCTCGAATAAAGATATATGATCTTTGCTTAATAATCTTTAGCTTTGATTCAGTAGTTCAATCTTTTGTAAAATTGTGTTTTTGAGTGTTGTGTGATAATTAGTTGACTTGTCAAAGTTGAACGAGTTTCTGCACACACACGTTTTTTTTTTGCCCACATTAAGAGGACTATTTCTTTAATATTCAGGTGGAATTTGTTCCCACCACATAGCACCAAAAAAAAAAAACATATTTACCGCTTTTTGTAATATTCTCCTAAGAATTGAGGGAAATTCCAAATAACTGAAGAAGTTTCTAGTTAAGCTGAAGCCATACCCTTGTGCATGGATACATTCTCAAATAAGTCAAAAATGGCTTTTAATTGAATACACTTGTGTATGAGTAATATTGAACATGACAGTTAGTTGGGAGTAATTGCTAGCTCTTAAATTTTATGGTTTCTATATGCAATGTAATTCGAAATCTTCATGAATGCCTAACCTCCATTTTTACGGATAATATTATATTATTGAAAATTCATGACATCTATATTGGTCTGATACAGCTTACACCAAGTAGATAACTTTTCAAAGTTACTCCTGTCTGGATGAGTAAATCTTATGCATTATGACACAATTCTTATCCACACAAATGATATACTCCATTAGAAGTATACAACTGATCTTTGTGCTTGGATGTCATGATCGATGAAGTTGTATCTTTTTAATGTATAGAAAGGTACAAAACTCCGTATAGCTGATTTTGTACATGGCGCTGATGGACTTGGAAACCAAAACTTTCCTCCACCAATAGGAAAACCAATTGAACAGTCAGCAGCTGCTTTTCTTGTCCAGCAAGCTAACCTTTACCCTGGAGAAGTCACTGTGGTGGCCCTGGGTCCCCTAACAAATATCGCTCTGGTCAGGTTCTTCATCTTCTTGCTGGTTACTGATGAAAAGATTCATAGAAAGTATTACTTATTATATTTATCAATTGATACAGGCTATACAATTGGATCCTTCATTTACAAAAAACATAGGTCAGATTGTTCTTCTTGGTGGTGCTTTTGCAGTAAATGGAAATGTAAATCCTGCATCAGAGGCCAATGTAAGTTGCCATAATCTGTGATTGGGCCTTTTAGGGACACAGAGTGTAAAGACTGACCTCAAAACTGAAGTATGTGCTGCTAGCCTGCTAATAATGTCTGACCATGTTTCTGACATTCTTACGTGTCCATGTTCTTTTTTATAACTCAATCATTTCTTAAAATGTTTCTGACGTGCTTACTTGTCCATGTTCCTTTATTATAACTCAATCCTTTCTAGCGTTCATCATTGTATATGCCATTGTATGCAAAGATTAACAAATTACCCTTGAATGTAGCAGGAATTTCCATTATCGACCCTGAGAGGTACCTCACACTAACTTTTGGAAATTTCTAAACTAAGTTAGAAAATAACAAAAGTTCCAGACTTTGGTTTATATATACTAAATTTGCCAAAACCTGAGTCCTATTCACCTAACATCGTGAAATAATTTTTAGCTTTGCTTTTACCTAGCTTTCTCTTTCTCACGTCCTTTCCTGTCACTGGATTGGATGACCAGATTTTTGGTGATCCAGATGCTGCAGATATTGTATTCACAAGTGGAGCAGACGTTTTGGCTGTCGGGATAAATGTTACCCATCAAGTTGTTTTTACCGGTAAAAGCATCGCTTGGCTTGCAAGATATGTCCCAGTTGTTCAATTCTCTTTTGTAGTTATTCTGTCCCTAGAGCTGTATCTATAATGTTGTGTATCCTCCCATTGTTTCAAGTAGTGGCCTTTATATCAATTTTTATATGTTATACGGTAAATTATCTTATCTTGCACTGCACTCTGATTCTTATATGTGGCCATCTGGATCAATTTTTTTTTCTCTTTAACACATCATTTGGGTCCCAGGATGGCGGAGCAGAAAAAGGAACTGTTGGAGAGAAAAAAATATTCCACTAGCATGCTTTAAGAGGACCAAATGTAGCCCAACAGTCTCAAATTTCCACCTTTTGTGAACCATTTACAGTACCTTGTTGCCCAAAAAAACTCAGTATTTTCAAGTTTTGAGTTTTTCATGACAACATCCAAGCCAATTATTTGAACTCAACAAAGCCATAGCATGACTACTTGGGGCTAGTTAGATGAATACTTTATAAAGGGTTCATTGCTTGGGCTTTCAGGCATAATAATGTGGGTTTGAATCCTGGGAGCAGCTACTTTGTGCAAATGATGCCAAAGGTATTTGGTCCAACCCCTCCCAGCGCCTTAGATAAAAAAAAAATAAAAAAAAAAAAAAATAAAAAAAAAGAAAAGAAAAGAAAAGAAAACAACGAGGTCGGCCTCATGACAGATTTGCAAAAATAAGATGTAAATACATTTTTGTATATTGTTACATAGGTCTTTTTTCTATCTAATTTATACCTATATCTGCTCAATGTAGATGCTGATAGAAAAAAACTGGCAGCGTCTGGTGGAAAATTTGCCCAGTACCTGTGCAAGATCCTAGATGTGTACTTCTCTTATCATCATAATGCATACAGCACGAAAGGTTGTTTATTGGACTTAGAGCTTAGGAAGCAATATCAGATTGTTGTTCTGATGGTAGCTTTGGATTTGATGCAGGCGTTTACCTTCATGATCCAACGGCCCTTCTTGCAGCTGTTAATCCTTCACTGATCACTTACACAGAGGGTGTAGTTAGAGTCCAAACAATTGGCATCACAAGGGGCCTCACATTATTTTATAACAAACAGAAAAGGTGGGATTTTCTGCGCACTCTAAATCACCACTTCTATCTTAGACATGAGGATGAATGTAAAACTTGATCTTTATTGCATGTCAAATGCTCAAATTTATTGCATAATATGGTGGCTTAACCATATTCCCAAATGATGATAACAAACAAACAAAAAAAGATGGTTTTGCGATTTGACCAGGAATGAGTATTAAGACAAAAACAGACAAGAATGATTGAAAATATCACTTCTATTGTGCTATGTGAAATAACATGAAACAATTTATGACCAAAGAAAACAAAGTAGATTCTTATAATGCTCTAGAACACAATAGAGATTGATTCCATTTCATCTGTCTTCAGAGCCTATAAGAATTTAAGCTACAATGAAAGACTGTGTGGAAGGTTGCATACTTAAAATGATGTGTATTATTGAACTTGTCATAAATGTCTGTTGAAGTCAAAGATTAACATAATAGAGATATTCATAACAGTAAGCTGAGAAAAAAACAGGCTTAAGTCCATCTACACATGTATGCATTCACACGCATAATCACTAGGGTGCTCCGCATTCTGTAAACTGGGATGTGGAATTTGAAACACACCATCAATGAAAAATTAACTTTGTTAAATAAAATCAGTTTGGTGCTTTTAGTTTGTTATAGGCAGATGAACTTGTTGCATTTCGGGCAGAAACCTTTGAAACTCTGTTTACTTGGTTTCTTCAGTTTATTTTAATGAAAAGACTATTACAAGGCAAAGATACATAAATAGAGCAGCAGTGCTCTAAAGTCTTTTAACATTATTAAGCTACACTTGGTGCCATACCAAGAGATGAACAAGTATAGATGATAAATTCTTTTTTGAATCGTTATAAGGCAGCAATATGATAAAGAAGGTATGTTACACATTTATAATATTTTGTTTTAATGGTCTTGAAGTGAAGAGGAAACAGTAGGGAATTGGAAAATAATGAAGAAATGTATGTGTTTGTGTGCGTGCGTGCGCGTGTTTCACTATGCTAGAGTGAGTTCTATTGAATGGTAAACACTTGCATGGACAGAAGCACGGAGTGCTCTCTGCTATAAAGCAACCAGCAAATGAATAGTAAAACGAGGCTGCTCCATATGATACCATTAGCCAAGCCACTAGCCTTATAATTTGTTAGAGGATAAAAGCAAACAATACAATTTCTAAATACTACGAACTTTTCACCGAACTTAAATGCCAAATAAGCAGTGCAATATTAGAATATTTCATTACCTTGAGCCTAGCCTGCCTACCTTTCATGTCCCTAGCGATGTTCAGCATAATACCTCTGTTGTTACAATTATTTTCATACATTCAGTTATTTCTTTCAATCCATATATGATAAATGAGAGCCACGGAATTCTTGCATTGATCTGATTTATTGTTTTCTTGCCACAGATCAGGAGTTTTGGATATGCCACATTCTTGCATTGATTTGATTTAATGATGTGGCAGAAGTTAAAAGTTAAAATGACTTTATGATGCCGTTCCTTTTTTATTCAATCTTCCCATATTTAATATATATGATCTAATTATGCAGATACTTGGACAATAGACTTCGTGGTCGCCTATGTCAACTCATTTTATTACCTTTTTCATGATAAACCAGGTTTACTTGGACAATAGACTTCGTGGTCGCCTATGTCAACTCATTTTATTACCTTTTTCATGATAAACCAGGTTTGCTGAAGTTACTGAGTGGTCCGATAGACCCGTGGTTAAGGTGGCAGTCACTGTTGATGCTCCAACTGTTGTCAAATTGGTGATGGAACGGCTTATGGATTCCTAGAGCATGCGGACTAATCATCAAGTCTCTTGATTGGTTGCTGTTGGTGTGACTTTGTGCGTGATTTTGGTTCAGTTATATGCTACACTCAGATGAGATTCTGAAAAGTAATTCCCTCCTCCTTGTAATAAGGAAAATTGTCTAATTCTCATCACTCACAAGGGAGATGTGACACAACAAATATAATTTTTTATATTATTTTATTTACTAAGGTTCTGTTAACAACAAAATATGACCGTCATGTGGTAGAATTTTTTTTTTTTTTTTTACCCATGTGGTAGAAATGACAGTGGCCATAGTTAGCAAATTGTGATGGGTGTTTGGGTTTACCTCGAGATACAACCGAAGTAGAAAAAGACCTAAGCGATAACATGCTCATTTTTTGCCTTACATTGAAGGAAGTAAATTAAGTAATGCATAAGCAGGTTGGCCTACTTATCAATCTGCCTCTACATTTTTACATTATTTTGAGTAAAAATGAGGCAGAGTACTGTTCTCTACATTTTTTGAGTTCGTCTCTGGTTGAACGAACAAGCCTAAAAGTAAAAGAGCAGTATGATTTTGCTTTCTCCTTCATCTTCTGTTTTGGTTAATCTTCCGGATCCAATGATTAGGGCATGTCTAAACTAGAACATAGCAGCCTTTAGCATTATAAAAATGAAAGTTAAAGTTTGTCTTAAGGCACTCTTTTTTGCAACAGATGAAATTACTGAGATGGCTAATAAGAGCTTAGTCTCCTTGGTATGTTGTCATTGTTAGATATGACTACGATGTATGGATGTGTAGATGAGCTGATTAATAAGTTTAGACTCACTATATTGTGCCATTGTTGGTACTTGGTTAATGAAATTCTATATTTGTAGTTGCCCTGATACGAGTTCATTTGTGGCCTCAGGATCAGTGGTTAAGACTAAGGTGTATATTGCCGGAGACAAGTAGCTTGTATAGGTGATTTATTGGCCCTGGTAGTATAGGGGATGCTTGACCACCTTGTGTACGATTTTGGGTGATACCCTCTATCAGTTTGAGACTGTCATACACACAGTGAGTGTCTGTTAGTATGTATATATATGTATGACTACATAGCTATTGCATGAGTTTTAGCTAGAGATGGATTGTTTATCGATTCTCTAATTGGGTTGTAGTAGAAAGGACTTCTCATGGGTTTAACCCACCATTGTTAATATTTTTCAGGTCCGCATCAGTTTCAGTCTTAGAGTTGAGTTCGTGCGATCATAGATAGTCTTCATCATTCTTCCGGATTCATCAATGTAGGATATTACCTCATGGTTTTATTCTTCAGATTTAGATATTATTTATTTCGGTTTATCGGATTTATTTAGGGGGCCATGAGATACGGATTCCCGAGTTGTGCTTCTTGGAGGTTTACTATTACGTCAGTATTTATTGGAGGATTATTTATTGATGAATTTATTATTTAATTATTATTTAATTTTCCTTTTAACGTAATTATTATTTATTCTTATTTATTCATTTGTATTATGTGCTTGTTTGTTATTAATTGTTTAATATCCCCTGATTTTTGGGCGAGGATTTGATCAACCCGCGCTAGGAAATTGGGTGTATTACAGTTGGTATCAGAGCACTCCAAGTTTAAGTGTCTCTAGGGGTTTTATCAGTATATGACTTCCGCGTAGCATATCCTTTTGTTTAGAGACTAAGTATTAAGGTTCATTGTATTCTACTTACGGTCCGTTAAATGCGTACTAATGCCAATCTTATTCTGTGTTAACAAAATGGTTGGCTTCAGGAGAAGATGGGAAAGAAGAATGGCTAGGAGAGAAATGAGACATGAGTGTTGGCGCCAAAATTGCCTTCGCAATCAGAGAGTTGTTCAAGAGCAGGAGTTGCCTTTGTACGAGAAACAGCAGTCGAAGAAAGAGCAGCCGGAGTATCAGGAGCATTAGGATCAGGGCATCGACCAGGGTAGGGTTCCAGAGTATCCTCCCCACATTGCTATCATTGCTCAGGTTGTAACTATAGGAGTAACAGTTGCACTTTAGAATCAGCAACCTCCCTAGCAGGCATCACCTCATATACCAGTTGTCCAGCTTAACGCTTGGGAGAAGGTTAGGAATTCCTTCACAAAGGGGAACCCACCAGAGTTTTCAGGGTCCACGAATGTGAAGACAACGTATCAGTGGAAGAAGAATATTGAGCATCATCTTTGCATGGTTGAGTGCACAGAGGTTCAGCTTCAAGCTTGTGGGTGATGCTTTGCAGTGGTGGGAGTCTGTTACCACTACAGATGAGATGACTATATTGATTTAAGCTCAGTTTCAGGCTCGCTTTGATGACGAGTATTTCCCATTTGCAGTAAGAGCAGCCAAGAAGACAAAATTTCTTGACTTACAGCAGGGGGATAGGATAGTTGCAGAGTATGAGTAGGAGCTAGTTCACCAATTTATCCTTATTTGCTCCAGAGGAGGTGGACACAAACGAAAAGAAGAGAACTTGTTTGTTAATAGGTTGATCTGCCCATCAAACAAGTGATTGCAGGTAGTCTGGCTTACACCACTTATTCTCAGGTGGTTGATACAGCTTTACAACATTGTCAGATGAGGAGAGACTATAAGTAGTTCAGTGGTGAGAAACGGAATGACAGAGACTCTGCTTATCAGCCAGCTGAAAAATGAAGTGGTAATAGTGGCAGATTCTATGGACATCATTGGAAGAAGCACAAGGCAATTTAAATGTTCAGAGAGATGGGGTTTCTAACCATAGATAGCAAAATGGAGCACCACAGACTGGACATGATCAACTACCGGGAAATCAGTATATGAGACAATTTGGTCAGGGACGTTGCTATGAGTGTGGAGAGCTTGGGCAAGTAGCTAAGAAGTGTCCTAAGACTATTCAGGGGCAGCATGAGCAGTAAAGATAAAGACAACCATTACCTTTACTTACTCCACAAATTCCATGTATTCAAGGTCAAGCATAGCCTTACTAGCACCACCGCCACCACAGGGACAAGCACCATATCAGTTACATTATGGCAGGGTGTTTCAATAAAACTGATATATCTCCGCCATATATAAAGCATACATTTTTATCATATATATATATATATCTTAAACAATAGTTACATTTTTTAGTAGGACAATTATACTGAACTATAAAATACACCAATTTTCTATTTTGATACTGTTATTTAAGTATAATTTAAAGCTATTTACATTACGGACAATAAAGTGAACTTACAAAATAAAAAATAATTTTATATACTATCTTAATATGTGTCACATAATATTATAATGTAAAATGTAATTTATTTCTATTTTCATTTTTTATTTTTTTGCAAATGTACTTAATGTAATATTAAATTGTGTAGATTTATTTTTTTATTAATATTTAACATAACACTATATTACTATTAAAAATGCCTAGGTAACAAATAAAAATTAAAAAGGTTGTCCAGCTTTGTAGGGATAATTGTATAAATAGTAGGGGTGGCAAATTACAATACAACTCGCCAACACGACTCGAACACGATACGAGATAAGTGGATTTAGGTTGGCCTTAAACGGGTTCGAGTCATAAACGGATTGACACGATTAACCCATTTACTTAAGCGTGTCGGGTTGGGGTTGAGGGGTTCAACCCGTTTAACTCAACATGTTATAATCATGAATATGACCTATGTAATATGTTACTTATTTAAACCTAATTACTATAGATAGTTAAGTCATTTCAACATAAACCTTGTCTACGCTTTATGATTTTTCTTCTTATTTTGAATATTTGGGTTAATTGTGACAAAAATTTTCTATTATTTATTATTTGATTAAATATTAAATGTCTCATTTTGATAAATAGGTCATTAACGGGTTAATACGTTTACCCATTTAATAAACAGTTTGGGTTAGCGTTGAGAGTTCTTGATACGATTATTAAATTAGTCAGGTTTAGATTTACCTATTTAGTATAATACCCTTACATCGATACGATACAATTATAACCCACGAACACGAATTGTCACCCCTAATAAATAGCATATGTATAAGAAATCATGTGTAATGCTTGACTTAGAGTATCTCCAATAATAAAATTAACTTTCAATTATAAAATTGAGGGTTAATTTTACTTGAGGCCCAATATCACATTGAAACACTTTTTGAAAATTATTATCACTCACTTCAAAAACCTTGGCACGTTTGGGTTACATACACACACACACACATATATATATATATATATATAGCTTTTGTGTCTTTGTTTATTGCTACGTGGATGATATGTGTTTGAATGTTTACATGATTGGATTATCACATATGCATGCTTAAAGGATAAAAGCAAATAAACCAGATTTAGTACATCACTGATCACTTGACTAATTATAAATAAATTAAGGGTTGGTTAATTAGTTTTTTTATTTGTTTAATTAAATCCAATTTATTTATTAGTTTAAATAAATAGTTTATTTATTTCTAATTTATATATTTAAGGGTCAATCACTAATTAAGTAATTGAATATAATAGCTTATTAGATTCGCCAACTTACATTTGAATTAATATATCACTGATATATTACCTTCCACATTCAAAAGATAAAAGAAATTTGTGTGAATTAATAAGCTAAGTCAAAACGTAAGAGAAAAGTGAGAACCAACCTTAGGATATGGCTATATTAAGGGTGTTGAATCTCAATGACCGTGATGGTATTGTCAAGTATGAAATTAATCCCGATTTGATTTTAATGAGAAATGATTTTGTGATATCTTTATTTCTAACGCAACTTTGAAAACAAATTAAACTAAATTATCAAAGAATAAGATCAAGGTAAAAAGGACTTAGGGCTTAACTTCACCGCTAGCCTTGTAACATGGTCAATTGACTCAACTATGGGGATTTTGTTCTTATGTATATTCGGGAATTGAATGATTACAAGAACATTCTAATTCAATTAAAAAGGATAATTATCAATAAACACTAAGCCATAACCCATCTTTGATTGGCACGAATTGTTTACCTAACTACTCTAATCTAAGGTATAGTACAACTCGTCTTCCCTAGGCATGAATTATCAAAACAATCATTCATAAATTCATTAGGCACCATTGCATGATTACTACTCCTATGATAACATAAAATAAGAGCAGTTTGATTTCAATTAAAACTTCATCAATTCTTAGACAAAGATAATGATTCCATTAAAACTGATTTTAATTATTAAAAACCCAATTGTTTAGTACAACTATGTCAATTGCTCACAATCATACGATCAATATACATAATTCATAGAAATCCCTAAAGTTAAGAACAATCAAATCATGCTACTCGGTCTAGGGTTACATCAATGCCCTAAGAGATGATTTAGCTACTTGTGAAGATGAAGGATATCATCTTTGATGTTGTAGAAATCTTCTCTATGGATTCCAATTCTTCTTTAAGGTAGTCTTCTTCAATCTTCAAACAGAACTCTGAAACCCTAAGCCGCCAATTACTTTTCTTGTGTCTTCTCATCTTCTTTTATAATGTAGAACAAGTCCTAATCCCCCTTGGATGGACTTTACACATTCTGGGGACAATTAGGCCCATAAGGAAACAAAGAAGAGAGATTTTACAACTTTTCCACAGCTCTTTGGAAACCTTTTAAGTAATTTATGCTCGAGATCTAGTATTTAGTGCTCGAGTTCTGGCCTGAGCTCGAGCATTGTACTCGAGCATTGAGAGGCAATGCTCAAGCTTTAGCTTCTTGTGCTCGAGCTTTTTTTCCCAAGATTTGTATGACGTCTTTTCATCTTCCCGAGAGGATTTGTGCTCGAGCTCAAAGTGCAGAGCTCAAACTTTTTGAGTTTGTGCTCGAGCATTAAGAGCAATGCTCGAGCTTTGAAACACTTAACCATTTTTCTTCTTTCTTTGTTTAGTGCTCGAGCATTAAGGGCAATACTTGAGCTTTAAGAAGCTGAGCTCGAGCTCTAAGGCCTTGTTGCCTTCAAATCTTCCCGGTTGAATCCTGAATTGACTCGGAGAACACCGTTCTAAGCATCAAATCCATGGAATTGTCTGTATCTTCGAGTAAAGATCTACAAATAGCCAATAAACGAAAACAAATATAAGAACCGGGAATAAGGTATTGCAAAGGCATTAACATATGCATGTTTAGGACTCGAATATGAAACATTCAGCGTTTATCAGCAACCTTTGTTAGAAATTGTGCAACCTTACATTTTGTCGTGCAACATTTGGACTATGGGTTTATATAGAGAATAGAATTGTTGGAGATATACATCTAATAAAAGAGACATAAATCATGTACATAGGGTAAAAAGAGAGAGTGTGTGGAAAGTCATATTTGGAACGTTTGAAGTAAAAGGCATGCAATCTTCCATTATTGTTGTGCAACCTTTTTCATAAAACTGTGCAACCTTGCATTATTGTTGTGCAACCTTTTTCAGAAACTGTGCAATCTTACACTATTGTTGTGCGACTTTTGTTAGAAGCTATGCGTAATTGATTGGTTTAAGTAATTAATTTGTTCAGCTATCGTAATTGTTGTATTATTGTTACATTATTGTTGAGAAATGGCTTTGGACCTTTGGTTGTTGAGTGAGTATGAAGATGAAATCCCTAAATCAATTAGTTTAAGTAATTCATTTGTTCGGCTATCGTAATTGATGCAACAGAAATAAAGATAAAATTGAAAATGAAATAGGGTAGAAATGGGAAACCCTAAGTCAAATTGGTGAGTATAAGATAAAATTGAGAATGAAAATGGCTTTGGTTGTTGAGTGAGAATGAGTATGTGACTATTGCTGGAACAGACCATGAATTTAGCTGTATAGTGTTGAATGCTAAGTGTTAACTTTCACTGAGTTGGTGTATTTTTTGTAGAGACAGCCGAAAAGTTTCGGCTGTTTGGGCTGCACTTGAGGGACTTGAAGGGGGATGATGATGCTAACCTTAACCCACATGCAACACAAAGGCATGCGAATATGCGATGGTGATGGCAATTGTATGGTTTCATTTCCAGATTGTGTTGAGGGGCGGATTCTTGTTCTTCTTCATTTTGTTCTTCCCTTGCTAATGCAAATAAGAAAGCTTGAAAAAGTGAGTCGCGTCAGTTTCGATTTGCACAGAAACAAATTGGTTCACCAATGGGAGGGAGTGTATACCGAACGACATCACGTTAAAGATCCATGGGTGAAATATCATAGGTATATTAGTCATGATATGTGTTATTTATTATCTAAAGCAATTATCAAAATGTATCTAATAATAATTAAAATTATGCAGAACTAAAATAAACCGAAAAAAGAATAACAATATTGTTCACTTTTGTTTCATTATTTAAGTCTAAAAATATTAAATGTATATACCGTAAATAGACAAGTATATATTTATAAACAAAATATACAAATACGTTTTAGTTTAATTTTATTCTTAGGTAAGACATTTATTATTTTATAATTTTTTAAAGTATTCATTTAATGTAAGAATCTAAAAAAATATAAATATGAGGTCACATTTCTTTACAACTAAAAAAAAAACTTGCTATAATTTTTGTATTTTAATTATTACAAATATTATGCATCTCCTAACATAGAAAAAATATGTTATACATGGCTCACACACATTTTCTAATGCTTATGAAATTACATTTTTATTATTTCACAAATTATATAATGGCCCTTTACTATATATACAAATATTGAAAATATTTTACACAAAGTTACCTCGGTTAAAGGGAAATTTTGTGCCCCAAAAACCACACCATAAAAGGTTTATTGCCAATCGCTTCAACTCGGTTTTTATACAAATCACCCTTGTTTCATTTGATCTTCTTGTTATTTGTCGTTTGTATTTAACTGACTGATGAACCAACTGGCATGAGCTTACTAATGAATGAATTATTGGGATAGAATGGGAGATATGCTCTTAGCACTGCATATTGCGTTATCTATTTCAACAAACATTTTTTAAATTCTAAATCTAGAAATTTCTTATACATATCACTACTACACTGTTGCATCAAATGATGTTTAAGGAACTACAAACTGATTAGTCAAATTATAAAATAAAAAAATAATGTATGTTTATCAATTCATTTATGAATGATACAAGTCAAGGAAATTGATCAAAAGCTAAAATAGAAACCAGTAGCTTAAAAACTGCCTGCAACACTCCTTTTGTTGATTTTATTTACGATGGGCCTCCACGTCTGACATTAGCTTAGGCTGCTTGCTTTTCTTTAGCTGATATTTGGCATATGAATACCATATACCACCGGCTGTGTTAATAACTAGTCCAGTCACATTCAGGGCATGTACTTGCACTCCTCCCAGTATTACAAAACCGAGGGTCTGAGCAGCAGCAAAACAAATTATACTTAGTCATAAAAGGGCTGTAAATGAGCCGTGTAGTGACCTGTTTGAGCTCAGCCTGGTCAGGCAACAAGAATGCTCGAGCTCCCACATCAGTGTTAGAGCTTGGCTTGTTCATAGTTTGATAACTTCGAGCTTGGCTTAGCTTGCCCTAGCAAGCCGAGTTCAAGCTCAAGCTCAAGCTCGTCATCAAGCTTGATTTCAAGCTCAGGATTGAGATCAAGATTTGATTACGTAAACCACATGTTTACCAAATTTTATGAAAATGAAATATCAATTAGTTGTTTTTAGAAAATATTTAATAAATAGCGTTCAACACCTCAACAGAACTGCAAGTACTGAATCTGGGCAGGGATAGTGCATTAGGTTTCTAAAAATAAGTGGATGTGTGTGTGTATGTGTGCGCGTCTGTGTGTAATTAGGGCTCTAGAGTTAAATGTGTGTGTGGGGGGTTTTTTAATGACCTAATGAGCATGTTCACTAGCCTAGTTCACAAACAGTTCATGAACTTGTCGAGCCGATCCTAAGGTAGTTTAAGCTTGGTTCATTTAATAAACAACCAAAAGAAAAAAAAATTGTTCAGGATCGTATCGATACAAATATAAAAAAAATGCAAGTCAAGCTCTTATCAACTCGAGCTCAATTTGCAGCCCTAGTCACAAATAGTTAAATTAATTATGAAGGCACCTGTGAAACAAGTCATGGGTTACCCTTGGCTCCTGTGCAACAAGTCATGGGTTTAATCCCCACCCCATGCACTTGCTGCTATTTTGCACCGGTCAAACGAGGAATGCTGGTTGTAATAGAAGGTGATGGAGAGGGTGACAAAAATTAACATGGGACAAGGTTATTAAAATGACTTTAAAAAGTTATATACAGTAGGTGAAATAGCATGTAATAGGACAATTTGGAGAGAGAATTCATGTGGGCGACCCCATTCATATGGGATCAAGGCAAGGATATGATGATGATGATGATGATGATGATGGAATACAAAGACATGAGTAAAAATTAAATTGCATGGATCTCTCTCTCTCTCTCTCTCCCCCAGTGTGTATTCTAACAAATAGCTCAAATGCACACTTTGCCCTATGGGGACTTAAACCCGCAACTTTTCACTTTGGGAGGTAGAGGAGATACAGTTGGATTACAATCCTAGCTGATGCATGCATGGAGCTCTGTTTGGTAGCTGAAGATAAAGGAAAAGGAGAGGAAAATAAAACATGAAGAATGCTTTTATACATACCGTGGAGCCAACCCCTTTGAGGACACCAACGATTGTTGTAGTTAAAGCAGAGTTAACTATGGTACATAGGAACATGGTATAATTGAGAACTATGCCCATCACCAATGAGAGAAGAAGAATAACCAAAAATGACAGTGACGCACTCTGTCCATCAAAAGCAAGACACAAATTAAATGTCAATATCAAATATTTAACGAATGATAGATCTAAGTCAGAAGAAGAGCACTAAATTAACTACACAAATTAATATGTACATTGCAGTTTAGCAGAGTATCCCCATTCAAAATCATGAAAAACAAAATAAAATAAAGAAAGTGTGACAAAAATCAAATGAAAAACACCTTAGCAAAGAAAAAGAGATCGCCCAATCCTGATTTGTTGACCTAAAAATGTCAAATTGTGTCATGAACCTCCTAATAAAATAACTGTTATGTCGCTCTTTTGCTTCTTTGTATATTTCTTCCTGGAGTTTTTGAATGGGGTGCAGGTATGAGGGCAAATCTGTGCGTGAGGTGTGGGGAGTGAGCTTGAACCCTTTGATAGATATTAGTCCTGTTCTTTTACGGAATGACCAATGCAACATACTCATTTTGTCTAATCCACATATTATGTGATAACATTCATTTTGAATCATTTGACTACAAATAGTGTATGCTACATTAATTCTGGAATTTTTGAGCATAGTCTGCACACTTATTTGTATCTTTAAACAAAGAGAAGCGTCTAAACTTTTGCAAAAAGTTAAAAGTACAATAACATAATAATATATTTTTATCATAGGGAAAAAATATACTATTGTCAAAAAATCTAAGTTAAATTATAATGATTTCCCTTTATGTTGGGCAAAAATACTTTGATCAGGATCAACACACAACCCAAATGCACAAGCCTCACATGATTCAAACATATGTTAGAAAAAGAGGCAAAGACATATAGAATAGGGATTTTCAGAGGGATTATTAAGAAGATAATGGCAGCAGAACCGGCACAGACAAGTTGGCATCAAAAAGTCCTACATGGCAACTTTGGAAGGAAGATTAAAGTCTTGAAGGACCTCTCCCCCACCATTGGGAAGGGTTTCCATGTGTTTGGCTTCCAAGGAACCATAGTCACTGTAGTTCTTCGAATCAAATTGAGTCCCGCAAAGGATTTCCAGGATGCCTCACACTTAGTTTCTCTGGGAGTCTCTCAAACAGTTTCTTGGGAGTCTCTCAAGCCATGGAAAATTTATAAAGTAGTTTGATCTTATTATCTAAAAAGATATTATGTCTCATGAAGTGCCCTCCTTTGCAGGTGTACACTCCAGAGTTTCCATGTGTTGCCCATTCCTCAGACTTTTCTGTAATACATGTCCTTACCTGCAGACCCTTTCACAAAGTTTGCCTTGCCATATTCCTCAGAGACACACTACCCAGTACCTTAGACACAAACACAAAACACCCACCCCCCCCCCCCCCCCCCCTCCCTCTCCCTCTCCCTCTCCCTCCATCTTCCCCCCCAAAAAGCTCCTTGGAATACGCATTACAATTTACATCATTGCTTTGAACTCATGATGACCCCCTATGAATTAATTTCATAGACCCTAGGCCCCTAGACTCTGGAAGATGGCCATTTTGGCCTCATTTTTTTACCACTATAAATAGGACCCTTTTCCCTTCATTTACACAGCTCTCAACAAACGGATTTCTAAGGCATTAACACGTTCTCTCTACACTAACACTTTCTCTAGAATTAACATCCCCCTCACATCTCACACCAAATTTTTCTAAAGCTCTAAACACACTTGCTGGAGATTCACACTTGCTGGGGATTCCGGTAAGTCTATAATCATATTTTCTATTCTCTCAACTGATTAAAAATTAGTTTCCATAAAAGGTAATAATAAATTCGATGAGAATTTAGGTGAAGAAGAATTTCTGTACACCTAATTATTACATCCCAAAAATAATAACAAGCTTAACAATAAAGGAAGCCTCTTAATTAGTAAGAGTCTATGCGAGGAAGTAAAATAAAATAAAATAAAGAAATATCAAGTCACTTGACAATGGAACACCATCTCTCTTTCTGTCATTCACCTGAAAAATGTTGAAGAATCTAATGAGCTCCACAGCCCAGTAAGCAAATATAGTAACCCTTTAGTTAGAATAATTAATTATATATAATTTTATTTTATTCTTTGATTAAGTCACCATCCAATAAACTTAGTTATTATAATTACCATTCAGTATTCGCTAACTTACCAACAAAAACAAACAAGCCTTTTTCCCAACTACTTGGGGTAGGTTACATGAATCCTATGTTTCCATTCCGCTCTATCTAAGGCCATAGCCTTAGTCAAACCACGTGATATCATATCTTTTGTACTAACTCTACCCCGTTAACTTTGGTCTGCCTCTTCCCCTAGTATTACTAGATTTATTGAACCTAAATAACAAAAATATTCACATTTTGTACCTCTTGATTCTCAATCCTCATTTATATTTCTAGACTTATTAAAGTTGCACTCCATTTAATCATGTATTCAGTTTTATTTCTATTTATCTTGGACCCTTTTAATTCTAAAGTTTCTGTTCAAACCTCTAATTTGGCATTGACTCCTTCTCTATTCTCATTGACGAAAACAATATCTTTAGCAAATAACATACACCATGGAATCTCATCTTAGATGTGTCTTGACAGCTCATCCATAATCAAGGCAAAAAGGTATGGGCTTAATGCTGACCTTTGATGTAAGCCTAAAATGATTAAAATTCACTTGTTTCCCTAACAGGCATTCTAACTACAGTAACACAACCATCATACATGTCCTTCGTAGCTTGACAGCTAACGTAAAACTTTGTCATGACCAATTTACAATCAATATCAACACTCGCTAACTTACCAATTTCTTATAAATTCATTTGTTAAATATTATGAATTTGGGAATGCACAATTCCAAAAAAATATGTGAAGCGATGCACTGATAATCAAGATAGCATGCAGAATGTGAACGGTGGGATTAAGCATGTTTAATTATTATTCTAAGTGGTGACATAATATGCATGCAAAGAATCATGAAGTAGGACACTTCTTACGGCCACAAATCAATCACTAAACATTTTATCATATCCCCCTCAAGCTTGAACCGACATGATATAAAGATATTATTCTATAAATTAACCACTCATGCTGTCAAACCCAACCCGATACCATACTAGCATTAAAGAGCTCAATCTATAATTATCCTTTCAAACCCCCCATACTATGCTATCCGCAAAATATCCATATCACATAATGCATGCATCTAGGACAATCCAATTACGAACAAAAATAGCGAACCAAGCAACAATTACGAAACACGACAGAAAAATAAACACACCACACAAAGAACACAAAGATTTATACGTGGTTCGGCAAAGCCTACGTCCATGGTGGAGATCCAATGAAAGTCTTCATTATGTGTAAAATCGGAGATTACAAGTTTCAGCCCCTCACTCTCGTTATACGATTCAGTGTCTCTTGATGATCACCCTCCAAACCCTAAGCGCCCTTATATATCGGGCTACAAGAGAGTACTAATTAGGGTCCACGACCCATGAGCAAAAACGGGCAAAAAAATTTCCTCGAAGGCTCTAATCGGTGCGACCTGGCACCAAATTCGAGCCATAGCATCACAATGCAGAATGTGAACGGTGGGATTAAGCATGTTTAAGTATTATTCTAAGCAGTGACATAATATGCATGCAAAGAATGATAAAGCAGAACACTTCTTACGGCCACAAATCAAACCAATCACTAAACATTTTATCATATTCCCCTCACTGACAGGATATAAAAATATTATTCTATAAATTAACCACTCATGTTGTCAAACCCAACTCGATACCATCACTGGGTAAGTTGGTACTAGCATTATATAGCTCAATCTATAATTGTCATTTCAAAGCCCCCATACAATGTTATCCGCTAAATATCCATATCACAGAATACATGCATCTAGGACATTCCAATATCAAACTATCTCAAACACACCATTTAATCAACCATATCCACCCTAAAGCTATCACCAGCGTGGATAGGTACCATATTCATACAACTATAGGACAATAAAATATCAAACTATCTCAAACACACCATTTAATCAACCATATCCACCCTAAAGTTGTCACCAACGTGGATACGTACCATGTTCATACAACTATTCTATCTTTTATCAATAAAATTAGGGTAAATTACACTTACCTCCCCTAAAGTTTAACCTAATTAGACACGGGTGACTTGTGCATTTTTTTGCAATGACCTCCCCTAAAACGGATAAGGCCTCACCAACATCAATTTTTAGGGGATTCTACTGTTTTACCCTGAATATTTTAACAATAAAAATGAAAAATTATCTTCTGTTTTTTTAAAAGAAAGATTGTATAAAGAAGCATTCAAAAGGGGAACGCATCCCTCAAAATGTAAAAAAGTCATACAGGCCTCTAAACTCTCAAAGAGTTCAAAAAATCAACTATCTCATCCATAGATTTACAATATCTCCCTTAAACCCAACAAAAAAGAGTGCTAATGGTGGGGAACTTCAGCGCACCAAAAGGGGTCTCCTTTCCTTCAAAGGATATCCTATTTCATTAAAGCCATAAACATCACCAGATGCACAAAGGCGTGACCCTCCAAGAATCATGAGGTTGGGCCCCACTGTACAACCTTTCCAAGCCTCAATCAAGCCTCTGAAAGACATGGGCATAACCCACTAAACCCCAAACAAACCAAACATCGAAAGCCCAACAGTCCTAGGCAATGCAAAAGAAGATGATCAACCGTTTCCTCATTTCTCAAGCACATGCTACAACAATTCACCACTATACGTCTCCTCTTAAGATTATCTGGGTCAAAATCTTACCCAACACAGAAGTCCAAGTGAACAAAGCCACTTTGAGAGGGGCCTTAGTGCCTCAGAAAATGCACATCCCATGACGTTCTTCCACTATCAAGGCGACAACAATCAAACACCAGGGCACGTCTGACCGTAACAATCCTGAAGAGTCTGGGAAAAGAGAAGGCAAGAGAACAATCACCACGTCAAATATCCTCCCAAAAATGAATCATGCTGCCATCCCTAACTCGAAATTTAATGCATTTAGAAAAATCCATCCCAACCCTTGCGA